AGTCCAAGCTTTCCTGTTTGAATATTATGGTCTAAATTTTCCTGGTTAGGGTCAACAGAAGAAATTCTGATTTAAGTCCCAGAAAGGCCCAAGATCTGCCTCCCAGAAGCAACTTGAGTGTGGTCACTTGCTAGAGCTCTGCAGCAATGAAGGGCACTGGGGAGCAAATAGGATGTGCAAATACGACGCGTCTGGGTAAAGCCGAGAGTCAGCTCCTAAAGCCGGAGTTCAGAGAGATTTCTTTCATTCATCCATGGGAGGAGGAGGCCTCATTATAATTGTTCAAGCCTGACTGGATTACATCACTTTCCCCCTGGTTTCACTCCCTCCCCACTTGCCTCCCTCCTTTTATTTACACCCCTTGTTGGGCAGCAGTGCGGAGTGGGGGCTGCCTTGATGATGGATGCTGATCGCTTCATTCCCCACTGCCCCCCCAGTGCCTCCCCTGGCGCTTTGAAGTGTGCTCAGGTCTCAGGCTCCAGTTCAGAGGTCACTTTGTTTATTTATGCAAAGCTGGCTCATCTGTGAAATGGGGCTTTCAAGGCCTCTGACATCAAAGACTCCAAAGCTGGTCCCATCAAGTCGGAGCAGGGACGGGCCTTGCATTATAACAAATTGAGGCAACTTTGTGAATCATAAGGAAATATCGTGGYGAGATTTTTGCTTCAAAAACTTGGGCTGTTATTTTGACTTGTGGTTGGATGCTCAGCACATGGTATTGGCCTGAAAACCAGTCATACCCTGTCGGCTAAAACACGAAGCCCTCGTGGAGAGCCTGTGGGTAAATAAAATTTGATCCTGACTCGGTAACAGGCTGAATATTTCCCATCAGTTGCTCTCAGAGCTGCACCGTTATGCAGAATTTTCCATTTGCTGTGACTTTTAAGAGGGAATGGAACAATTCTGCTATGGTAATAAACAGTAACCATATCCCACTGATGTGGCAGTCTTGGTCCCGTAGGCTCCTCGATGGGCTTTGTCAGTTGATGGAGTTACAGACAGAAATCCCCTTTCTGCTGAAATCCAGCCTGCTTTGGGACACCACACACTTCCCCAGCGCCACCAGCATCTCAGCCCTGTGGCATCTCAGACCTAAAAGCCAGCTTGGAATGAGACCCTGAAGCAAGGGAGAGGCAGTGGCTGGAGAGCAGCTGGGGATGATRCCACTGGGGTGACATTGCTGAAGAGAGGGCTCTGTGTGTCCATCCTGGCCCTGTTTTGCATGGCTGTGTGAGGATTTGGAGGGGAAGGAGCTGCACGGGTTTGTCCCGTGTCTCCAAACCTATCACCTGACACGATACTGGAGCTTTGCCCTTCAGGTTTTTCAACTAGCCAGCATGCTCTGTAACACTGTGAAGCCAAATTGTACATTAAGGACACCTCAATCATGTGTTTGCTTTCTTAGCATCAGATACTCATGGCACAAAATTAGTCAGTGATTGCTTTTCAAGGCAGGTTTTCCACTCCATCTTCCAACTGGCCGCTATCCTAAGCGTGTGATACTGTCCAAGAAGTCCAGTACAGGGTGACCTTCCAATACAGGTCACAGAAAAAGGAGCTTGTAGGAAACTTCAGCAGTTCATCCTTCTTATGGTGATCTGCTGGCAGCAAATCTGGCAGTGCTGTGTGGCTGCTCCCTGCTGCCCTTTGGCTGCAGGCTGATTTTTCTGTAGGTACTTATCTGCCCACCTCTGTGGAGAGCTGACAAGAGCCTGAAAAAGCAATCRGCTTATTAGGTCATTTCTTGAATATAGCTAAGAGTGGTGATCTCTGCTCCAAAGTCATCATTTTGTATGCTGGTCATACATATCTGAATATATATCTGAATGTGGCTTCTTTCTCCAGGTCCTCTCTCTGTCCAATACTGCCAGGGAGTTGTGTTTGTGAAGGCTGGAGTGAAATGCAAACAGCAGATCTTCAGATCTGACACTGTTAACCAGGSTTCAGACTGCAGGTTTGGGCTGAGCTGGATGCCTCTGAACTTTCAGGAAATTTAGCATTGCTTTCAGCATCACAGATCCCTGTAAAACACTGTAAAAATGTTTCTCTATTCTTGGAAACCACTTGGTATTGAAACTGAAAAAATAAGAAAGTTCTTCAAAACAAAGAGAGACATATTCTTTCCGTGCAGCCGCAGTCCTGACTTTGGTTGAGGCAGGTGGAATTCAAATAGTGATGATATCTGAATTAGACAGGGGCCTTCCATCYTCAGGGTGTTCCTGAGATATCTCACTCCTGAACTAATAAGCAGCTCTTTTTTGGCACTCTGGGACCACAGGTCACAGCTTAAGACACTCACCCGAGGTGCAGGAGGGGAGATTGAAATCCCTCTCTGAACGCAGCACAAGAGGGACCTGAGCCCATGTCACTCCCATCCCAGGGTAGCACTTTATACCACTGGCTCCCTGCTGCCTTACTCACACTTTTTAAGTTCAACTGGAGACTCACAGGTTTCAGGAAATCTTCCCAAAATGAACTTCAKCCAATTTCTGGATGTCACAAATCAGCTCTTTTTGGCACAGCTGTCGAGGGTKCATTTGTTCAGATGCAAGGCAGGTAGGAGCCCAGTTCACTGCACATTGCAGGTGGAAGGACTGCTGTAAAATCCCTCACCCCTTGGGCAGCTCTGGGGATGCAAAGGAGCAGTTCTGCTCTACAAGAGTTTCCATTTTTATGGYGTTTCTCTACTTCAAGACTTTTCTGTTGTTAACATTGCCACATTCCCAATGCACGTAGAACAAGTTCCAGTGTATCCAACCCGATGTGTCTAAATGTGTGCAGTTATTTATTTCATCCTTGCTCCACCAAATCTSTTCCACTGGCTCAGCATGGTGGCATCATTATCCTGATCCCTTTGCCCCAAAATCTTTTTTTCAGGGTTTGGTGGGTTGACTCCACAGGTTTGCGATTTGTCGGGATAACAACTGAAAAAGCATCTWTCAAAGGATCAAACGGATTCAGAGCAATTTTCCTTACATCAAAAGCTTGGCAGCAAGTCAAGAGGTGTGGAGTCCGCAGTCAGTGGCTGTGTGGCAGCAGGAGGGGCTGACATTGTAACATGAGGCAGCAGCAGAGGGAGAAACCCTCCTTTTGTACCTCGGGCTGAGCAGGATTAAGGTACAATGGACAGAACATCACCGCTTAAATGTCTTAACCGGTTTTGTGATATTCAGCACTTAACAATGGACAGGAATCCCACATCTCTGACCACAGTTTTCTTTCTCCATCACCCAGTGCATTTTTTAAATTGTGCTGAGAGATTTATTTGTTCTCTGTCAGACAGCATCCAGGAGTTAATTCGTGACACTATGGATATTTATGTGAAAAAACTGTACAGGTGCCGGGAGATAGTTGCAGAAATTACAGAAGAATTTCTCTCCCTTTTGCTCATGAGACCTTATGGGTTTTAGGAGTTGGGCATGTGGAGGGATTCCTTCCTTCCTTCCTTCCTTCCTTCCTTCCTTCCTTCCTTCCTTCCTTCCTTCCTTCCTTCCTTCCTTCCTTCCTTCCTTCCTTCCTTCCTTC